CTTATTATTTTTTTCTTCTTGAATTCCTATGGCATGATTTATCATGATCCTTAATAACTTCAATAAACCTTTAATAGAATTTCTTACATATAAAAGGACTTAGATGATAACTTATCAGTTACAGAACATACACAGGAAGGGGATAATAGATTCACCAGGAGCCTCTGTTCTCACGAGAAAAATGTGACCTGAAAAATTCTTTTACTAACAGCTAAACCCAAAAGAGTCCAGAAGTTAATTCTCAGCTACATTCTGGGTTATATCACATTATTTCATTTCTATCAAGATATGTTAGGTTAATGCAGCATGGTATATGGGCAAAACATAAAACCTTTATAATATATGGTCTTCAGGCTCTGAAGAAGTTACATCATGAAATTTCCTGCAGGTTGCCACAAGTCAGATGAAGCATGTGTTTGAGAAAAGCCAACACAGATTTACCAAGGGTGAATTACACCTGACAAACCTGATCACTTTCTATGTCCCACATCAGCCAAGCACTGGACATTGCCTACATAGATTTCTTCAAGACCTTCAGTGTGGTTTCCTACTGCCTTTTCCTAAAGAAACTGATGCACTGTGGTCTAGTGGTCTGTGCTGTGGGTGGGAAACTGACCAGACACACCTACAGGAACACATCTGCTGCTCAAAGTGTAAACTTGTCACAAATGCTGTCCCCCAGGGACCAATATTGGGCCATGAATAATCTGTTCATATTGGATGGGATCAAGTGTACCCTGATTAAATTTGCCAACAAATTGAGTGGGAAAGTGGACACTTCAAAAGGGAGAGTCACCCTGTAGAAAGACCTGGATAAATTAGAAAAAGTCGGCCTTATGAACAGATGTAAGGGACAAATAGGTCCTTCACATTTGATAGGATAAAATAATCCAGCATGAAACACAGGTACACAGGTAGTGATCTACCTGGCTGGAGAGAAGTTTTGTGGAGAGGCACCTGAAGGACCTGGTGGACAACCAGTTCTATATGAGTGGCCAGTGTGCTGCTGCATCAAAGAAAGGCAACAGGATTCTGGGTTGCATCAATGTGGGCATCACCAGCAGAGATAAAGAAATCATTGATCCACTCTGCTTAACACTTGCTAGGTCACATCTGGAGTACTGTGCTCAGTTGTGGTCCCCACTGTACAGTAAAGGATGTGGACAGACTGGAGAGGGTCCAGAGAAGGGCCACAGAGATGTTCAAAGAACTGGGAAGCCTGACATGTGAGGAAAGGCTGAGAGAAATGGGTTTGTTCAGCCTTGAGAACTGGAGGCTTAGGGGAGACCTTATTCTAGTATTTAAAGGGTGACTACAGAGGAAAATGGAGACGCCTTTTTACAAAGAGCCATGTGAAAAAGACAAAGAGGTAATGGGCAGGAGTTGTGCCTAGGGAGATTCTAACACGACACAAGAAAAAAAGTTTACAGAATAGGAACAATCAGCCATTGGAATAATCATCCCAGAGAAGAGGTGTATTTCCTAACATTGGACACCTAGAATTTCGTGGGACATGAGGCTGGACCATCTTGTCTAGTCCATGCTTTTGCCAAGAAAGGTTGAACCAGATTAACCTAGAGGCTCCTTCTAACCTGGTGTTCCATAATTCTATGATCCTATGAAGAAAAAATGGATGCAGTTATTTTTTAAAGTCTAATCCAAGTACTTCTAAGATCTTAGTTTTAAGATATTATCCTTTCCAAAGAAAAACAGATAAAAGTGTTATTGATTCTCTTCATTAAAATTTAGTCACTGAATCCTTTACAAGGGAAATACAATAACAAATATAATTCTGCACAAAGGAGTCTGCAGATTGTGAGGGTATTATCTCAAATGTTTTCTTTTTTTTTTTTAATCTCAATAATAGAAGCTATTTATTTATTTTATTTGAGGTTTCTCAGCATTTTTAGTCAATGTTGGATGCATCTCTTTTTCAGTTATTTTTTTTTTCTCCAGCAGGCTCCTTCTACTTCATCTGCATGGCATCTTGATGTTTTGAAAATATGATCAGACAAAACCTACATCAACTTTTCTATATAGTAGTGCCCTATTCATTTGTCATTTTTTCACAAGTTGTGATTTTGTTAGCTTGTTTCTTTTTTAATGCAAAATTAACTTTATATCAAAATACCAAAAAATGAACACATTTAATTTTGCAACTCATCATACAAGCAGCTTAAGAAATATAATCCTAGAGTCCCATTGAAAGAAAAATCAACATCAATAGAACCAGGGACACAGAAGGAATTCTAAAATAATGTTAGGTTTTACAGGCATTTGCCATTTACCTGCATCTTCTTCTTTTCCAACTTGGAGAAATTTTCTGACAACCATTTTTAAATTATGTAAACATAAATTTTCATGGTTAAATTAGCAGAATAAGTCAAATTTCCTTGTAAAAGGACATTTGTTTTCCTCTGTTTTATTTTTTTAATTACCTCTTCATGGAACTAATGTATATTCATCTCAAGTACTTGAAAAACAGGCTTAATGATGACTCTGTAATAAAACTGCTCATATATTTATTCCAATGTCAGGGTTGAAAGTCATTATTCCACTCCTGAGCTTGTTGCCACTTTAACTTCCAGGAATCTACTTGATTTAAAATATTATTTTGAATTGTCAGTATCCTATGTGGTTGTGTTTGGTCTAGCTGAGATTAAGTTGATTTTTGCCATGGCAGGGCACAGAGCACAGAGCTGTGCTGTGCGTTGGTAGCTGGAAAGGTGCTGCTTGCACAGCAGTGGTTTGGGTGCTGCTGGGCAGGGCTGGCACAGCAGCAGCGCTGTGTCTCAACATTTCTCCCATCACAGGGCTGGGAGTGGGCGAGAGCCTGGGAGGGGACACAGCCAGGGCAGCTGGCCCAAACTGACCAAAGGGATATTCCATACCATGTGATGTCAGGTCAGATACAAATCTAAAAAATGGAGGAGGAAAGGGTGGCATTTGTTATTTTCAGTTTTTGGCTTCTAGACCAACTGCTCTGTATGCTGAAGCTCTGCTTCCCAGGAAGGGGTAGAACATGGCTTGCAGATGGGAAGGAGAGAATATTTTTTTTATTTCTCTTTGCTTGTGCATGCATGACCTTTCACCTTTGCTTTAGCAAACTGCCATATTTCAACCTATGAATGGTCTTCCATTTTATTTTCTCTCTCTGTCCAGAAGAACTGGGGAGTGACAAAGCACCTTGGCAGGCATCTGGCAACAAGCCAAGACCAACCCATCACAGTGCTATTCCTTTTAGCGCCTTGTCAAGATATATTTATCTCCTCAGCTCTAATCTTAGCCATTTTTATTTATCCTGTCTGACTTAATTTTTTCTTTGAATGACTAGCATTTGTTCCTGTCTTAGCTAAAATCATATGTTTTTAAATACCAAATAAACAAATACTTAGATAATATTCCATGTGGATGATCCATTGTACTATTAATTCATAGCTCATAATTTGAATGACAATCATTTTAATGCAGCAAGATAGGGTATAGAGGGCAAGAACTACAAGTCTGGGTTTGGAGTAAACCAAAGCTTCTCCAGTGAATCACATCTTAGCAGGCTGAAATATGGTACAACAATGCTCACAAATATGGCAACTTAAGTTGCTGCAGAAAGTCTTGAACCCATTGTGGGGCCTGCCTTGGTCTGTCTCTTTTATGCATAAACAGGTCAGTCTACAAAAAATGAGGAAATAACTTCAGAGTTTGGTATGTTAAGGAAAGACAGCCCAGTGAAAATTTCCTTCTTTCTAGGAGTTTGTAGTTTGCTCTCATTACAAACCTCCAAATTAGGAGCAGAGTATACAGCTGTGGATAATGTTTTCTCTAGCTATTTATAAATATGTTCATTCATATATACAAGGGCTAGTATAATTCACTGTTCAAATATTTTTAAAGGTCACTTACTATAGTCTTCTCTACAATGAATTTAAATTTGTTGTGGGGTTTTGCTGGACTCCATCTCTTTCAAGAACAGTCTTTCAAACCGTATATAAAGCAGACTTAAAAAAAGTTTATTAATGATCTAGTTATATTTTTGTAAAAAATAATAACCACTCCATGTTGCTTTTTTTTTGTTTTCTAGTTAGTCAAATATTTTACTAGCTGTAGGCTATAATATCTGTCATTTATTGGGAAAAATGGGGTGGAGCAGAGTTTTTCCAGTCACAGCTGATGACACATAATTATACACCAGAAAATAGAACTCCCTGGGGAAAAAAATAATTCAGATCATGCTCAAGTGAAATTGTTTAAGGCTATTTTGGATGGCATGGGTATTTATGAGCTCTATTAATAATAAATGAACTAATGTTGTAGTTCTACAGTTTGGAGACAACCTCATCTGACCGTTAAGATGATGCTGGCTTTCTGGCAATAATAAAAGTGCATAAATATTAATCTCTTAAGAAAAGAAAACCTCCTATCATTCTGTAATGTTTAAAAGTACATAAAATGTAATGAAAACATGAAAACTATTGGGTACTGAAATTTGTGATAGCTTTCTTCATTTATAGTTTAAAACCACATTAGATATTTTTTCAGTAGAAGAAGCTATTAACCCTTCAACCAGTTACTTTACCAAGAGTATTAATTACTTTGCAGATAACTTTTTGATATATTTTTTATAACTGTCCAGAAGATAATGAATGCTGTCTTATTCCAGGTAATTTAAAAAAATAAGCCCCAGCTAAAAGATCCAGTAAATGCCTTCTAAACACTTGTCTGAAAATGTTTGTAGTTACAAAGCTAGTTAATATTCTTTGGGAAGTTATTCTTGCTTTGAAACACAATTAATTAAACAAAAAATTGTACAGTACCTAACAGAAAAGTAATTCCTTCATACTATTTTTTGTGATCATCATTATAATTACTATGGAGCAGGAAAAAATATGAAATTGGGATTTGCCTAGGTTTATTAAAATCTGAGGACATGCATTTTCCCACACTGGTCAAATTGGGGATCAACACTTCTAGCATAATTTATAAATAGGAAAATAAGAAATTACCTCAGATTCGAGAGTCAGGATAGTTCTCTTGCTTCCACTTGGTTTTAGAGAAGAAAAAGTTTATTATTGCTGAGGGATTTCTGTGCCAGCATGTGATCTGGGTGAATCCTGGGAGTCCTAAATATCCTGGGAAGTGGATCAAGAGTGGAGAGAAAGCAGAAAACGTTAAAAAACTTTTGCAGCTCTACAAGTCACATATCCTTATTTTCCTGTTGAGTCCAGCAATACTGTGCAAGGTTTTTTTATTATTTTTCCTACATTTCAGATGTCACTTATATCAAACATGGAAAGAATATTTTCATCTCTGAATTTGATCGTCCAGGGATGGTAAAGGATTAAAAAAACAAATAAACAAGAGGAATTAGTTATTTTATCCTGTCAATGAATTTAGTAATTCTCTTCAGTCACCTAAATACATATCTGCATCATCACACAATTTCTCATGAATATTAATATATCATACATATATATTTATTATATATATATATTTATATATCTAAGCATTAAAAATTAAAGGATCCCCTAGCAGGACAGGACAGACATGAAATAATGAGGACATGAATGATTTTGTAACACTGATTCCAAAATGTTAAATACCAAGGTTACAGCCTCAGTTCAAAGTCTGATGTAGCAGTTACAAAACAGATCTCGTTTTTCTCACAGCTTGATACAACTTAATGAACTACACTTCAACGAAAAGATACAACTTGGAGAGTGATAGCCTGATAGAATATTAGGAGAATCAAACTCAAAAATTGCACAGGATCTAGGAAATAATATTTTATTGCACATTACTACAATGCATATGAAATGTGAAAAAAACTTTCTAGTGCTGTAGGCCTGCACTGGGATCTTGCTGGTTATACCCAAACTAACAGAATTAGGCATTTGATTATTCAAGCACAGTGTAAAAAGCAACACCTGGGAGCAAGTAATAAGGTCCTTCAACAAGGAGGCCATTATTTCTTTTCCAACACATTGCAAACAATAATCTCTTTTAGTATTGTCTTGATACTGAATAGACTCCCCTGATCTTGTTTTGTGTGGTGTTCTCTAAACCATGTCCATGCATGTGTATGGATGCACACACATGCATGGACATGTGTGTGCATCCACATATAGACACATACAAAGAGTATTTCAGAGTTTTTGTTTAGGACCATTAAAAATTCCTAACGTTAAGTAGTTCTAATTATTCTGTAACTCTTTCTGCCTAAGTACTGTTATATAGCTGCTGTAATAGAACTGTATGATCCCCAAAATTCTAGACATCCATATCACTTCTAACAAGGCATTAATAGGGTCAAAGATTCTCTCATTCACTGAGCAACATTAAACATGAATAATTGGAGATACTTGTGCTATTTTTAAACAGCTAAGGGAATCTCTATACCAATAATTTATTTAAACTATTAGCAGTAAGATGGCAATATTGAATCCATTAATAATTTTCATTTTATGAATTTCTGTTTTACTTTTCTGAATCCGAAATATAAACCTATCCTAATTATAACAATTCCTAGAAACCTGAGGGACTTTTCTACTTTCTGTTAATTATGATAAAGCATGGTACCATCACAGTGGACCAGTACATGTTGGAGGGGGCAAAACATACTTTGAGATATTCCTAACAGGAAGAACAAGAAAACCATAAAATCTGTAGGTAAGTGTTAGTAACACCAAGTTCTACTAAATGCACCATTCTTCATTGAAAAAGTCTTGAGGTCATTCTCAGGGCTAAAAGCACATGTCCTTGTCCACGAAGAACTGAGCATTATGCTGCTGAACCTAATGGTCCAAATCTTCTCAATCTAGCAATCTCAGACCCACATCTCCCTGAGGTCAAAAGAATTTCCTTCACTTGTGCTAGATGTTTTTTCTTGGGGCAGGATACTCTTCCACACAAAAAGGAATTATATTCTGCCCTAGTTTTCTATTATCTTTATTAATACAGAATGAAACATTTTCCTGATTTCAAAACTTTACATATTATAATGCATGTCCCCTCTCATACCTTATCACCAAATACTCTCATTTTGTTTCAAATCACTGTTATTATAGCTAAATACTATAGCTATAGTTGTTTATATACCAAACAACGTATTAGAGATTAAATATAGGCAGTATAGCTGTCACCTAGATAGACAATATCTGCATGTAATATAAAACCAATGTCTGATTTCTGATTTTATACATATGTTTTTCTGAGACATTTGAAATCTTTCCTGTTTTTTGGATGTTACTTATCTCTATAAAATATTTCTCTTCTTTAATAACCTATTGTCTAAAAGTATGACAAAAAAGTCATAATTTGAAGTCAGGTTCTGAATGTAAAGCACATTTTTTCAGTATTAGGAAAGTCAAGCATTTGGAACAACCAGAGAGTTTCTGAAATACCCATCCTTGATAGTTTTCCAGACCCATCTGGATAGCCTGGTCTGATCTATCAGCTGATCCTGGTTTGAGCAGGAGGCTGGATTAGAAAACTCTGCAGGTTCCTTCCAGACCGAATTGTCCTATTAACCTATGTTGCTAATTCAAGTAATTATAGAATGTTAGGTGTATTAAACTTTTCACTTATTGACTCTTACTTAATCCTAAATGCTCCCCACAGTTTTGCTCAGCCATACATATAAAAGCAGGACTGGTAAAGTCTGTCAGTGGCAGGTACTGTGGAAATTAGAACCAGTGAACTCTCTTAGAGAACAGAAAGTATGTCCCTCCTTTATTAGTACCGATACATTTTGCATCCTAGATACTGCAAGTGAAATTTTGTCTTTTCTATCATGCCCCATCTCAAAATATCCAGGTGGTTATAGACAGTTTCAGGTTAAATCTTATTTTGGTCTGCTTTGGTTTATACTTTAAAACAGACTTCACCATGACAGCTTTACTTCATGATCTAAGAATAAAAATGGGAATTGGCAATCAGGCATAACTTCATTTGCAAAACATAGGGGTCTTCAGTATGTTTTATATGAAATGGAAACTTACCTGTGAAAATATAATATCCCTGGCTTTCCACAATTTTCCCATCTTTATCCTTAGTCTCTATGACCAATTAGTTGTTGAAACTCAAGATCAGATTTAAGTTGAAACTTAAGATTGGAAGTTTTCTTCTCATGCTGCCTGTGTCACTGCTAACTTCACATTTTTATTTCCATTCTATTCTCCTATTTATGCTTTCTGATCTCTACTGGACTGTATTTTTCAACTGGTCAGTTTCTTTCTGTCATATATCCCAGTGAATACCATCAACAATCTATAATTGCTATTTAGTTATGTCCTGGAGCTTCAAATTTAAAAAGTCCACCTTTATACTGGAATATAGAATGTTCTACATAAGCAAAGATATATGCGTTGTTGATCATCTTTATATTATGTATTAACACTGGATTTGAAAATTTTTGCAGATCAGATATTCATATAGAATACTAAGGAACTGATTTTTAAACAAAGACCCCTTCCAACCAATTTCTAAGTAACTGTTCCAAAGTGTGATGCTTTTTAAAAAAGTCTGGAAATTATTTAACATTGGCAAACAATATATTATTTTCTGCTTTAATTCTCAGAAATAAATGAGCTGTTTTATATGACATTAAAGCTGAAACAAAAAACGAAAAACACAAAGAAAATCAATCTGAAGCAATCACTTGTAATGGAAAAACATATACCCAAATAGATGAAGTTTATTGATGTTTGGAACAAATGAAAGTACCTTATAATGAAAGGAATCAGACTACCTTAAAAATAATTGATATTACCATAATCTAGTAAAATATCTGTTCAGATATATGTGGAGAAATTAATGCTTGACATTGCTAAAGGTTCATAATCTAAGCCAAATTAGACACCCATTCTCTCTGCCTTTAAATATTATTGTATTGCAATTGTAGATTTATGTATGTCCTGGTATTGAAATCCCAGCAATGTCCTACAGTAACCATCTCAGGAGTATTCTGTGCACACACACTACAGTAATTTTGCTTTCAGTGGCTTTCAGTCACTGTCAGCTATGGATCATTAAATGTTGAGTTTAGCATGCCACAAGAACAGATCCACTCTCTAGGTCTAGCTCTGGAGAGAGCTGTTAGTATGCATCGATGAAATATTGTGGGATTTGAGGTGATGGGTAACAAGTTTCAGCTTCACTGTATGCAAGAAAAATTCAAGAGCATACATAAAATTGCCTGCTTTTCTGGATCTCAGTTTGTAATTTTTGGGTGAAGAGCTTCTTTTTCTGTGCCCAATGAGTCCATTGTGATCAAAATGTATGTCACCCAAAGCATATGGAAATCCAAAAGTTATGATCTGTCCATAGCTGAAAACTTTCTGTGTTTTTATAGAACCATTGCAGTTGAACTGAAGCTATTTTCATGACTTATTGGAAAATAAATATGACTCACACTCCCATTCAGTGCACTCCTGCATCTAATTGAAAAGACTATCAGGTTGTAAACCAGGAGGAATATTTGCCCATGCACAAACATCAAGCTCTCTGGTCATGGGCATGAATCTTTTGTGCTCAAGAAACTTGTACCATCTACAGTTTATTCATGTCCTGGTGGGGATCTTATACAAATTCAATAACTGAACATGGCTTAGGCTGACATAAACAATTTGGATTATAATTTCTATTGTCCTTGTTTTTTCCCTTCCTCTGCAGTTTGACATCTCTCTAAAACAGCAAGAGAAACAAGACTTCTGTCTGAGCACTAGGAACTATATCTCACTGATCCTTAGCATTCAGATGCTTTCTAAATAAGTGGTGTCCTACAGTTTCCATTTGTTACTATCTCTTTCCCATAGATGGGCTTTCCTTAATAGGGAATGGCAGCTTCTTTATTCCTTAATTATCATGGTCCCTCTGACCTACTACAGCAGAGAGAAAGCCCTTGCCTGAACAAAGTAGTTAGAAGGGAACTCTGTCTTTTCATTCTGCAACCTAACACCAGGTACGTGCCTGTGGGAAGATGGTTGAGTATCTACAACTGAGTGGATATTAACTGAGGGAGCATTTAAACCTTTGCAGTATTAATTTCAATTTAACCAGATCCTAGGCTTCTGTATTTTCAGTTTCCCTATTGCTTTCCAACCCCTGGCAGAGAGGCAGATTTTTTAGCATG